TTACTAAGGGACACAGAATTGCTACTCAGGGACAGACTCAGAATTGTTACTGAGGGACACAGAATTGTTACTGAGGGCCACAGAACTATTACTTAGGGCCACAGAAACGTTACTTAGGGCCACAGAATCGTTACTTAGGGCCACAGAATCGTTACTTAGGGCCACAGAATCGTTACTTAGGGCCACAGAAACGTTACTTAGGGCCACAGAATTGTTACTCAGGGACAGACACAGAATTGTTACTGAGGGACACAGAATTGTTACTGAGGGCCACAGAACTGTTACTTAGGGCCACAGAAACGTTACTTAGGGCCACAGAAACGTTACTTAGGGCTACAGAAACGTTACTTAGGGCCACAGAATCGTTACTTAGGGCCACAGAATCTTATTAGGGCCACAGAAACGTTACTTAGGGCCAGGGCCACAGAATTGTTACTTAGGGACAGACACAGAATTGTTACTGAGGGACACAGATTTGTTACTGAAGGCCACAGAACCGTTACTTAGGGCCACAGAAACGTTACTTAGGGACACAGAATTGTTACTCAGGGACAGACACAGAATTGTTACTTAGGGACACAGAATTGTTACTCAGGGACAGACACAGAATTGTTACTGAGGGATACAGAATTTGTTACTGAGGGACACAGAACCGTTACTTAGGGCCACAGAAACGTTACTTAGGGCCACAGAAACGTTACTTAGGGCTACAGAAACGTTACTTAGGGCCACAGAATCGTTACTTAGGGCCACAGAAACTTTACTTAGAGCCACAGAAATGTTACTTAGTGCCACAAAATTGTTACTTAGGGACAGACACAGAATTGTTACTGAGGGACACAGATTTGTTACTGAGGGCCACAGAACCGTTACTTAGGGCCACAGAAACGTTACTTAGGGACACAGAATTGTTACTCAGGGACAGACACAGAATTGTTACTTAGGGACACAGAATTGTTACTCAGGGACAGACACAGAATTGTTACTGAGGGATACAGAATTGTTACTGAGGGCCACAGAACCGTTACTTAGGGCCACAGAAATGTTACTTAGGGCCACAGAATCGTTACTTAGGGTCACAGAAACTTTACTTAGGGCCACAGAAACGTTACTTAGTGCCACAGAATTGTTACTTAGGGACAGACGCAGAATTGTTACTGAGGGACACAGATTTGTTACTGAGGGCCACAGAACCGTTACTTAGGGCCACAGAAACATTACTTAGGGGGGACACAGAATTGTTACTCAGGGACAGACACAGAATTGTTACTGAGGGACACAGAATTGTTACTGAGGGACACAGAATTGTTACTGAGGCACACAGAATTGTTACTCAGGGACACAGAATTGTTACTGAGGGACACAGAATTGTTACTCAGGGACAGACACAGAATTGTTACTCAGGGACAGACACAGAATTGTTACTGAGGGACACAGAATTGTTACTCAGCGACAGACACAGAATTGTTACTCAGGGACAGACACAGAATTGTTACTGAGGGACACAGAATTGTTACTGAGGGCCACAGAATTGTTACTCAGGGACACAGAATTGTTACTCAGGGACAGACACAGAATTGTTACTCAGGGACAGACACAGAATTGTTACTGAGGGACACAGAATTGTTACTGAGGGACACAGAATTGTTACTCAGCGACAGACACAGAATTGTTACTCAGGGACAGACACAGAATTGTTACTCAGGGACACAGAATTGTTACTGAGGGACACAGAATTGTTACTGAGGGACACAGAATTGTTACTGAGGGACACAGGATTTGTTACTGAGGGCCACAGAACCGTTACTTAGGGCCACAGAAACGTTACTTAGGGACACAGAATTGTTACTCAGGGACAGACACAGAATTGTTACTGAGGGACACAGAATTGTTACTGAGTTACCTCAGGGACACAGAATTGTTACTGAGGGACACAGAATTGTTACTGAGGGACACAGAATTGTTACTGAGGGACACAGGTTTGTTACTGAGGGCCACAGAACCGTTACTTAGGGCCACAGAAACGTTACTTAGGGACACAGAATTGTTACTCAGGGACAGACACAGAATTGTTACTGAGGGACACAGAATTGTTACTGAGGGACACAGAATTGTTACTGAGGGACACAGAATTGTTACTCAGGGACACAGAATTGTTACTGAGGGACACAGAATTGTTACTGAGGGACACAGAATTGTTACTCAGGGACAGACACAGAATTGTTACTCAGGGACACAGAATTGTTACTGAGGGACACAGAATTGTTACTCAGCGACAGACACAGAATTGTTACTCAGGGACAGACACAGAATTGTTACTGAGGGACACAGAATTGTTACTGAGGGACACAGAATTGTTACTCAGGGACACAGAATTGTTACTCAGGGACAGGACACAGAATTGTTACTCAGGGACAGAAACAGAATTGTTACTGAGGGACACAGAATTGTTACTGAGGGACACAGAATTGTTACTGAGGGACACAGAATTGTTACTCAGCGACAGACACAGAATTGTTACTCAGGGACAGACACAGAATTGTTACTGAGGGACACAGAATTGTTACTGAGGGACACAGAATTGTTACTGAGGGACACAGAATTGTTACTCAGGGACACAGAATTGTTACTGAGGGACACAGAATTGTTACTGAGGGACATAGAATTGTTACTGAGGGACACAGATTTGTTACTGTGGGCCACAGAACCGTTACTTAGGGCCACAGAAATGTTACTTAGGGACACAGAATTGTTACTCAGGGACAGACACAGAATTGTTACTCAGGGACAGACACAGAATTGTTACTGAGGAACACAGAATTGTTACTGAGGGACACAGAATTGTTACTCAGGGACACAGAATTGTTACTGAGGGACACAGAATTGTTACTGAGGGACACAGAATTGTTACTGAGGGACACAGAATTGGTACTCAGGGACAGACACAGAATTGTTACTCAGGGACAGACACAGAATTGTTACTGAAGGACACAGAATTGTTACTGAGGGACACAGAATTGTTACTCAGCGACAGACACAGAATTGTTACTCAGGGACAGACACAGAATTGTTACTGAGGGACACAGAATTGTTACTGAGGGACACAGAATTGGTACTCAGGGACACAGAATTGGTACTCAGGGACACAGAATTGGTACTCAGGGACAGACACAGAATTGTTACTCAGGGACACAGAATCGTTTAATTAAAGAGTATGTCAGACAACATGCATAGGAGTGGCAGAGGAGGCAATGTTTTAGGAGCGAGCAGACGTGGCAGCAGAGGAAGGGGTCGAGGCAGCACTAGTCGCAGCCAGAGGCCAGTGCTCCCGGTGTCATCCAGCGGTCGTGTCTCCACCGACAACCCTGCCGTCATCGATTGGTTGGCTCGGTCGTCTTCCTCTTCCCAGGTCACCTCTGACACCTACAGCCAACGGTCGGTGGGTACGTCAGACACAACCGTTAGTTGGCATGGCCCGGGAGCAAGCCCACTGAAATCACGTGTCCTCGACCTGCCCCTGTCCTTTGGTGTTCCCTCACCAAGCGAAGTATCGTATGCTGTGGGCTCAGCCCCACTGTACAGTGAGGAAGAGCTAACAGAGGGCGGTCAGGAACGGGGGGAGGACATCCGCCTCTTCAGCAGCCAGGCGAAGAAGTAGTGGCGAGGAGAGTGGCTCGGTAGCCGGTCTAGAGACAGGTCTGTCTCCTGACCCACACGCAGCCGAGGGGGCTAGTAGTGAGGCGGAGACCCTAATTGATGATGATGAGGCTGATCGCACTTGGCAGCCTCGTCGTCATCAGGCTATTGCTTCCGCATTATCAGGAGAAGAGGGTGGCAGCTTGGCAGCGAGCAAAACAGTCGGTGGGTTGCCCAGGAGGCAGCAGGGTCGCAGCAGTGTCAGTGGAGGCAAACGGCCACGGAGTAGAGCACCAGCTCCACTGCTGGTGGGTTCCATTTTGTCATAGGGTGCTGGCATATTACGGGCCTCCCATTGCTGCTGCCAGGCCCGTAATCTGCCATGGGCCCCTGTACCGCCTCCTCATGCTGCTGCCAGGTCCAGAGTGTCTCATGGGTCCCTGTACGGCCTCCCATTGCTGCTGTCTCCATCGCCACACTCTGCCATGTGCCACTTTCAGATCTCCTCACACTGCTGGTGTGTTCCATTTTTTGTCATAGGGTGCTGGCAGATTACGGGCCTCCCATAGCTGCTGCCAGGCCCCTAATCTGCCATGGGCCCCTGTACCGCCTCCTCATGCTGCTGCCAGGGTCACAGTGTCTCATGCCATGTGCCACTTTCAGATCTCCTCACACTGCTGGTGTGCTCCATTTTTTGTCATAGGGTGCTGGCAGATTACGGGCCTCCCATAGCTGCTGCCAGGCCCCTAATCTGCCATGGGCCCCCTATACCGCCTCCTCATGCTGCTGCCAGGTCCAGAGTCTCTCATGGGTCCCTGTACGGCCTCCCATTGCTGCTGTCTCCATCGCCACACTCTGTCATGTGCCACTTTCAGATCTCCTCACACTGCTGGTGTGTTCCATTTTTTGTCATAGGGTGCTGGCAGATTCGGGCCTCTCATAGCTGCTGCCAGGCCCCTAATCTGCCATGGGCCCCTGTACCGCCTCCTCATGCTGCTGCCAGGTCCACAGTGTCTCATGCCATGTGCCACTTTCAGGTCTCCTCACACTGCTGGTGTGTTCCATTTTTTGTCATAGGGTGCTGGCAGATTACGGGCCTCCCATAGCTGCTGCCAGGCCCCTAATCTGCCATGGGCCCCTATACCGCCTCCTCATGCTGCTGCCAGGTGCAGAGTCTCTCATGGGTCCCCTGTACGGCCTCCCATTGCTGCTGTCTCCATCGCCACACTCTGCCATGTGCCACTTTCAGGTCTCCTCACACTGCTGGTGTGTTCCACTTTTTGTCATAGGGTGCTGGCAGATTACGGGCCTCCCATAGCTGCTGCCAGGCCCCTAATCTGCCATGGGCCCCCTGTACCGCCTCCTCATGCTGCTGCCAGGTCCAGAGTCTCTCATGGGTCCCTGTACGGCCTCCCATTGCTGCTGTCTCCATCGCCACACTCTGCCATGTGCCACTTTCAGATCTCCTCACACTGCTGGTGTGTTCCATTTTTTGTCATAGGGTGCTGGCAGATTACGGGCCCCCCATTGCTGCTGCCAGGCCCGTAATCTGCCATGGGCCCCTGTACCGCCGCCTCCTCATGCTGCTGCCAGGTCCAGAGTGTGTCATGGGTCCCTGTACGGCCTCCCATTGCTGCTGTCTCCATCGCCACACTCTGCCATGTGCCACTTTCAGGTCTCCTCACACACTGCTGGTGTGTTCCATTTTTTGTCATAGGGTGCTGGCAGATTACGGGCCTCCCATAGCTGCTGCCAGGCCCCTAATCTGCCATGGGCCCCTGTACCGCCTCCTCATGCTGCTGCCAGGTCCACAGTATCTCATGCCATGTGCCACTTTCAGGTCTCCTCACACTGCTGGTGTGTTCCATTTTTTGTCATAGGGTGCTGGCAGATTACGGGCCTCCCATAGCTGCTGCCAGGCCCCTAATCTGCCATGGGCCCCTGTACCGCCTCCTCATGCTGCTGCCAGGTCCACAGTGTCTCATGCCATGTGCCACTTTCAGGTCTCCTCACACTGCTGGTGTGTTCCATTTTTTGTCATAGGGTGCTGGCAGATTACGGGCCTCCCATAGCTGCTGCCAGGCCCCTAATCTGCCATGGGCCCCTGTACCGCCTCCTCATGCTGCTGCCAGGTCCAGAGTCTCTCATGGGTCCCTGTACGGCCTCCCATTGCTGCTGTCTCCATCGCCACACTCTGCCATGTGCCACTTTCAGGTCTCCTCACACACTGCTGGTGTGTTCCATTTTTTGTCATAGGGTGCTGGCAGATTACGGGCCTCCCATTGCTGCTGCCAGGCCCGTAATCTGCCATGGGCCCCCGTACCGACTCTCATGCTGCTGCCAGGCCCGTAATCTGTCATGGGCCCCTGTTGTCGCTTGTTGGCATATTCCGCTCGTTCAGATGCTCCTTCTCCTGCTACTCCTCTTCACGGATTCCGTCAGCAGTCTTTCTTGGAATCCGTTTCCAAGAGACAACAGTTTGCGAACACGCACCCGACGGTGCAGAAGCTGAACGTCCTCCTGTCCAAGTTGCTGCTGCCAGGCTCGTAATCTGTCATGCGCCCCTGTACCGCCTCCTCATGCTGTTGCCAGGTCCAGAGTGTGTCATGGGCCCCCGTACCGACTCCTCATGATGCTGCCAGGCCCGTAATCTGTCATGGGCCCTTGTACCGCCTCCTCATGCTGCTGCCAGGTCCAGAGTGTGTCATGGGTCCCTGTACGGCCTCCCATTGCTGCTGCCAGGCCCGTAATCTGCCATGGGCCCCTGTACCATCTCCTCATGCTGCTGCCAGGCCCGTAATCTGTCATGGGCCCCTGTACCTCCTCATGCTGCTGCCTCCTCATGCTGCTGCCAGGTCCAGAGTGTGTCATGGGTCCCTGTACGGCCTCCCATTGCTGCTGTCTCCATCGCCACACACTCTGCCATGTGCCACTTTCAGGTCTCCTCAAACTGCTGGTGGTTTCCATTTTTGTCATAGGGTGCTGTATGGCCTCCCATTGCTGCTGCCACCACCGCCACACTGTGGCTCCACACTCTGGTTTTGGCCCCGTGACTGCCCAAATGAGTGAAGTGTGTGGTGATTCTAAGATCGACGGCACTCATCTGCATGTCATACTGACTGTCAGTATTATTTCTCTTCCCCAGCAGACTCCAAGGGCATTTAAATTAAAGGTACAGTGTTCTGCACTAATATAAAGGCTCTCTGAAGCCTAGAAACACCCTTTTATAAGTTAAATTCGCAGCGAATATATATTCGACTCGAATCGAAATTTTTTCACGAATTCGCCGAATCAGTCGAATTGAATTTTTGAATAATTCGCTCATCTCTAATGGTGACCACATGGACTTTCCAACCATTCTCTGGTTCTCCTGGCAATAACATGTGGATCAGCGGCTCTCACCTGCATCATGCAGTCTAACAGCACAGTCCCTTTAACTCTTGAGCTCCCTTCCCAGGCTCACTGCTTTAAATGCACAACGGCCAACTTAGCTCAGGAAATACAGCTGCCATTTTAGCAGTATTTTCCTGTACTGTGCCATTCAGCACTGAGCTGTTACTGCTCCCAGTGCTAGGCATGGAGGTGGTGGAGACAATCAGCTACTCCAACAGGTTACACATGCCAAAGCTGTGGTAGGATTGCACACCTTCAATTCCTTGGCAAGAGTGGAAGACCAATCTGTGGACCCCCCACCTCTCCTAACTACACCCACTCCAAACACCTAAACATGAGTCTGTCCCTGCTCTACCTATCACTGGACACTGCTGTCAGTGGTAGGACACACATGACTACAGACATCTGACCAAGTAATCAAGGGCAGGGACAGCATATACGTTGTTCATTGCACACTGGGTGAACATTTTTGACAGCTGGAGGGATGTAAGAAGAGGGATGCCCCTGGACTTTGTGGTGCTGTCATGTTTGGTGGGAAACAATGCCAGCTTAGTCACATCTTCTCCCTCCTTCTCATTGTCATCAACCTGCGAGTCCTTTTCCTGGGATACCCTATACTAAAATATCATCACCTCCTATGCCCCTACCTCCTATGCCACCACTCAAGCCTCGCAGTGCTTCAGCTTGTCGGTCTGTGGAACAGGAACCACACTGGGCTAGATCTGCTGGTACTTCTCCAGACGCAGGCTGAGAAGTGGTTGACCACATGCCGGCTGCAGCCAGGCAAGGTCATGTGAGAAAATAGGAGATGCTTTCTGGCCATGCTTTGCCAGGCTCATGTGCTTGTCTTGGTAGTTCAGTATTTCCTGAGCAAGTACCCAGGATAGGAGGACTTGCTACATCAGGGCAGAGTTTGCAGACATTTTCACTGCTCCTAGCACATATTTGAATGTGTTTAATTTCAGCAATGTTTCACAAAAAAAGAGTAGACACTGTTGTTTCCCTGCTAGTGTTTTATCTCTCTAATGAATGCAAAAAAACATTGATTATGTCAAAATTCAGAACTGTCTTGTGTTCTCTGCACATATTCTGTTTTCTCCTGTATAGCAGTAATGTATTTAGCCATACCTCCCAACTTTTTGAGATGGGAACGAGAGACACCTATTAGCAAATGTATGTAGGCATAGGACACACACACCCCTGCCATGCCCCCTTAAAGGAGAATTATACAAAAAAATAGATTAGTTAAACTCACAAGTGATTTTTTTTAACCAATACTATTCTTTTAAACTGGCTTTTGAAGTTTACACATACAGCATTTTAGAACTTGAATGAAAGGTTTAGCACTGGGAAACACTTTTTGAAAAATAAATAGTTTATTTTATATATAACTATATCGATCAGACCAAAATGAGGAACAAATGAGGAGGATAGAGGGACTTTGTTCCAAATCAGGGGCAGTCCCTTGAAATCACAGACAGTTGGGAGTTAGCCCTCTTTTTCTTACCACTGGATACAGAATGACTGTGGAGATCTGAGAGTGGGAGTGGTTGAGCATAAGAAACTTGGCGCCTCTCAGTTCACAAAAATCTGTGTGTTTTTGGCTTAAGAACTGAATGCATTCCTGTAACCACCAATAGGTATTTTTCTGTACTTGCAGGTTCTTTAAAGGGATATAACAAGGAAAAATGTGTATATATTGCAGATATGTACTGCATATATTTTTTACCTTGACATATGCTTTATTTGTGCTGTTGACTTAAGGGAAAAATTGTTCCCTTTAATGTAACCCAAAATTTAAGTTGGAGTTCAGCAATTATTTTGATGAATTTGGTAAACTTTGTGATTTGTATAATACTGCTTGGACCTTGAAGAAGGGGACACTCCCCGAAAGCTTTTCCTCAAACTTGTATGTTAGTGCAAATAAAAAAAGTATCATGGACAGTACTCAATTGTTTGTAAATTTTGCTAGAACTGAATTTCGACTGAATCATTAGTGATTAGCAAAGTCCTTCTGACATACATACTGTAGCTAATTACTTTTTAAAAAACATTACAGTAAAAAAATACATAATAAAAAATAAATCAACAAAAACATCTATAAAAAGTAAAAAAAAAACTATTTAAAAGAGAAAAGTGAGGGCAGAAAAAAACAAGAGGTCCATTGAGTCTTTCCTTTTACATACTTTGTATTTTTTGTTTCTGTGTTTTTTGTCTGAGTATAGATCTATGTTTGTCCCAAGCATATAAAAATATATGGAGAAACAGCAACGGCAACAAAGAACCTTGGGACAGTACCATGAACAAAAATGATACTTCACTGGGACAGAATTTTTGCATCTGGTTCACAATTGTATTGCAATAATTGTACTGTGATAAGAACAATGATGTGCTGTATGTGAGTCATTGAGAAACTTATCCAACATACATGATACCAGCTTTTTAACAAAACATTGCTTTAGGGTTCTAGTACTGCTAACGATAAGGTGTCCTTGTGTAATAGATAGGAGTTACAGTTAAATATGTATGTGAACCTTGATGAGGAATTATGTAGAGTCAATGACTTAAGTTTAAAGAATGAACATTAGGATGACAGTAAATGGCAGTAAATTCATTTAACTTACAGGATGTGTTTGTTCAAATTAATCAATTGCTAAGTTATACTGTATGTCTGATATCTATCATCCAGATTCATGTGTCTCCAGACACAAGGGTTTCGATAATTTTGAGAACTATGTGCAAAATATGCAGAAATATTTTCCAAGCATGTTTCTCTTTTTTTAATGATCTTGAATGTAATATTTTTTCAACATTAAGAAGATGGAGAAATTCAAATTCAATATGGTAATTGATTAGTGTATTTTAGTAGCAGTACTGCATTAATGCCAAGCACTTAACAAAGGGTTACAGATCAGTAAAAAGAAAGCAAAAGGAAATAATTGGAAAATGTCAAAGAGGAAGCTAAAGTCAGCTGTTTTTTGTATTACTGTTGTATTAAATCTGTTTTTCCAATCCCTCAGATTCAGAAATTGCTCTACTAATAAAAGTAATAGACATATCCTGGCATCAAGTTATGCATTATTTACAGTACATCCTATAAGCCAAACTTTAACTGCCACCTTAACTAAACCACAATATGTTCTAAAAAAAGGCAATAAACTTTAAATGAGAATACCACTCCAGACAAAACTCAACTATAAAAAAAAGTAATATTTTATGTCTGCTTGTTAGTTTTTTTTGTATAAAATAAACCCATCTTGAAGCACTAGAATCCTCCCTCCCACCACTCTCTTCTGCCCGCTCACACTCATTTGGCACTTTTTTAAAGTAAATACCTTTAGATGCTTCTAGATCCATTCACTGTTCTTGTTCCATGCCAGCTCCCCTTTTAGAAAGCACGACTAAGGAATCCAGTGCTGCAGGAGACTGGTTGCATCTTTGTGATGTCATTATGCCAATGCAGTCTTTTGAAAACCCTGCAGC